GATGGGCAGAAGTTGTCGAGAACAACGGCGATTATATTGTTGATTGACGCGGCATGTTTTTGAAAAATAAAGTTGCTTATTGTGTGAGCAGAAAAAAAACGTGCAGAACTTATGTGCCAATGGGATATATCTGGCTCAAAACAACTGTTTGTTTTGCTTATTTATTTATAACGATTCGATTCTCTTTCACATGAGATGTGTACGTACCGTACCGTAAGGATCGAGCTGTTTCTGAGATATTGAAGAAACATTCATTTAATCCAAAAATGGAGCTTCTGGGGATGACTAAACAGTTACGTCCTCCTAATTCTTGAACAGTGCAAAACGAAGGCGAGATATCTTGAATTTCTTAGTTTCTCGATGAGCTCTTTCGAATTAGAACACTAAGAACCAAAAATTTTACCTCCTGCCACTATTCACTTTGCAGGTCGGTTCTCTGACGGACCCTCTCTTAAACACACAAAAGAGAAAATAAAAACTATTGGCAAGAACAAACGATAGGTTAGTTGGATTTAACAAACCAAGAAAGGTAAAAGTCATAACAATTATGGGATTTGTTTAGTAATAATAATAGCTATATTTTAACACTCTGTACTATAAATATTGTAGACTTACGGACTTCTTGGGCAGACAGCTGCTTATATATCTGGTGCAAAACAGCTGTTTGTTTATCTTTTTATAACGTTCTCTTGTCTTCGCTGCGATCCTTAACATAGTTTTACGCCTCTTTTCCTTCATCATTGATTTATTGGTATGATTAAACACACAAAAGTGAAAATTAAAACTTTTGGCAAGAACAAAGATATCTTAGTTGCATTTAACAAACAAAGAAAGGTAGAGGTTATAACAATTATGGGATTTATTTAGTCAAATGTCATATAAAACAAAACATTTCAAATCTGGTTACTTTTGATGCTCTAAATCACTCTAACTCGATCACTGATCATCGAGCACGATATAGAACAGTTAACGTTTCCTAAGATAAGTCTGTTTTCATTAGCCTATAATCAATATAAGTTTGAAAACAAAGCTTTCTGCGTTATGAAATACCGATCACTTCTTGCCGCAACGCCTTCTACAGTTTAACGCTTCATACAAAAGAATATAATAATGAAAACATTGACAATTTTTACTGACGTTTCGTCTGAATGTAAGCAGTGAAATATTATTCAGAATATGTAAATATTCATTAAGCCTAAATTGTTTATGATTGTTTTGTCATGCTTAGCCATCCACTTCATTTCATCTACAAATATGACTCTTCCAAGCTTTCATCTTCTAAATTTGTAAATTCAATTGACAATTGTTCATATTCGTCATTTGTATCATCTTCATGCCATACATAATTTCTTTCTTTTAAAATAGCTCTAATGTATTCTATAATTACAGTGTTTTCCCACGTATATTTTGCTGGCCACCAGCCTTGTAGCCACCCAACGTGACCACCTTCTTTCGTTAGTACCGCAATAATATATTCATTTTCACAAACACTCGACAATGGTAAACCTTTTATACAACATATTGGGTCGTCCAGAGCCGACAACAACAATGTTGGAATTCGAATGTGTTGAATCCATTGTGCTGAACTACCTTCTTTATAGTAGTCAATTACATCATCATAACCAAATAACGGTACAGCCGTCGCTGTGTCATATTGTCGCATTGTTCGTGCTTTATAAGCATCTCTCAAATTAAGATGTGTAGAATCTTTAAATTGATTTTCATGACTTTTTAGATAAGATATCAATGTTTGTGTTAATTGTTTATTGTATGTTCTCGTATTTAAACCTTTTTCCAGTTTATTTGCTGTTAGAACATAATCATAACTTGCACAACAACTAATAGCAGCTGTTAGAGAACATCTGTCCATTTGTTCACCAATATATTTTGTCAGGGTTCCTGCACCGTATGAATAACCTATATAGAGATAAAGTCAGAGATTTATGTTGAGGATTAGTACCAATAACGCTCATCCTACAATATCATAAAGGTACTTGGGATTCAGTTGGATGATAGTGGAGTTTTTAACAAATTTGTTTATATAAAAATAAGGCAGTGAAGCTTTCTTCAAGGCTACCTATGTCTTATCTTTCAAAAGCTATCCCAATAGAATGTTTAGCAGTTGTGTATTCGGTCGAGCGTGGTAAAAAGATCAAGCTAGTTTTCTTCAGGCAAACATATAGAGCGAAGTGTCAACTGTAGTGTTTCCGAAGTCAAGCATCCTCTAGGATGTTACCGGTAATAGGATTTCATAGGATTCCTTTTGAATCAAACAATATGAAAGCCTACGGCAGGAATTCCGTAGGTTTCTTGATGTAAGACGGTAGCAAAAATCCTGTAGGATTCCTATAAGATTCCTATAATAGGAATCTTATGCATTTCTAACAAAATTCCATGATAAGACTTTGTGTAGAATTCCTATTTTCTCATTCTGTATATATTTTCTTTTCTTTTCCTATAGGAGAACTCAATCACCAGTGCATTATGCAGTAACTCTAATATAAATTCAACTCTACTGTAAAAAATGGAAAATTCTTCTACGCTTAAATTTTCTCACGGAATACTGTGAGCCATCGCAACTTGTTACTGTTCGACCGTCGAACACTAACAAGTTGCGATGGCTCACAGTGAACCGAGCTATCAGTGAATACTGAGTCAGTATTCACAAATCTTGAACTTATCCTAGCTCAGAATCATCTGATTCTGGTTAACTGGGATCGAAGATTAATTCAACAAATAGAAACAATAAATCTAATAGCCAGCAGAAATTCAGATAAAATTCTACTGCAATCCTATATTCGTAGGATCTTACAGGATCCTAAAGTAGAATCTTGTAGGATTGTTTGACTGGGGTTTGTGAGAAACTAAACACTACACTCGATACACTCTATGATAAAACTTTGGTTTTTTGTTAGTCTGTGATGCGAACAAAATTTTAATCTTACCTAGACCAAATAACGGAGTGTGTGAACCAATAATTGATCGAATATATTGAATTGTTTTGTGTAGGTCCGATGTGAATACTCCACTAAATATCGTCGGTGATGCCAATTGAGAGCGGCCACATCCTCTTGCATGGTGGATAACACAGCACAGATTCAATGTTTTGTGAGCAAATTTCACCATCCATCGTATGTAAGCTGTATGTGAACCACCCACCAATCCGTGACATATTAACAGCACTGGTTGATTTCGAACTGGTATTGTGCTCCAGTCAAGAGCTATTTGACCGTTATTTGACACCGGTAGTAGAATACGGGTAAAGTTTATTCGTGGAATTTTTCTACATTTATCACTGAAAATAGTTTGAATATGACCATTGATCATCCATGGTGTTGGACGATACTGTTTTATCATCGGACATTCATCAACTAGTTTTTGATTATGTTCAGTTTGTCTCATGTGTATTATTGTGTGATATGGTCTGAATAATCGTAAGCAGCACAATAGGATTATAAATAAGCCAAATGCCAGAAATATAGCTATTAGAATTACCGCTTTTAATTCTAACATTTCTGAGCATCTAGTTCTAAAAATAGTTAACAGATTCACCTAACAGGTGCATTTAAGGTGTTACGAAAGGTTATTTATATAGTAACAACTTTCAGGAAGCAGAAACGATGTTTAAAAAAGTCATAACTCTTTCTATTCATGTTGTTTAGATGCTCATTTTTCGATACTTTCGTATTTTACAGTGACATTTCTGTACTCTTTCCCGACCTCAATACTCAAAATTTAATTGTTTTTACACTATTCATATGTGCTGCAAAGCGTAATCACATTGCTATTGATCTACTTCTGTTATGAACCAAAACATACTACATGCTTTGTGCACAACACTTTATCGTTTCTTCAATATGTCTTTAACGTGTTTGCGTAAGAAAGATTCAAGAAATTTGACTCATACTGGAAGAAAAGACCTTCATTTTTTTGCAAGCTTATAATGTCGCGTGAATCGTAAAAAAGATTGTTTTTTTTTTCGTTCTACTTGCTTTTCTCCAGTACAATATCTACACATGTAGAACAGCGTCACAGATCCGTCTTATACTTAATAAAAGTCATTCGATGAGAGATAAGATTTAAAATAAAAAAACAACAGAAAAGCTGTCAACTGGATCTTACTTACTAATCTTATTATTCACACAGCTCAGGCATGTAACGGCACACTTTAATCTTAAGTGAGAAGTAAACTGTGTTATTTTCAACAGATTATTTAAATTTTAAACAACTGACAGCAAAACAATTAACACAAGGATTAATATCTTATCTTATAAAAGTTATAAAATAAAGATTTAAATTCCGAGCTAATACTTTCCTGTTGTAATATAGTCGGTTTAATTTTTCGCTTACCACATGATTGATTCTTTGGTTTTCTCTTAAAGAAATAAAAATTATGTGATGGAACTGCTTATCTGTGTATAAGAGAGAGAAAAAACATTATACAGGTAGGCATGCACAGGTTATAATCGTCAAATTTCACCTTTGTTCTGCAACGGATTGCATGAAAAGTACGTATATTAAAACTTTTCTAACAGCTAGATTTTGTAGAACAGACATTTTTTTTTTCAAAAGTTGAGCTGTGTCGGTACTCTTCATGTTTTCTAATTCCGCCACAATCGCTTTGCGATGAAGAGCCCTAAAAAAAAAAATTTTTTTTAAAAGTATTGGATCAAGCGAAAGAATACTCTATACCTCATATTGTAGAAAAATGTTTGTTTCATAAATGCCAATTGTTAGAAAAGTTTTAGAAGATCATTTTTCTTCGAGAAGAAGACTTTCTGCAAAAAAAGCGCACAACCTCAATCGGTTTAAACTGGTGCATGCCTAATTTTAGGTATCAAAAACACCTCTTATTCAGTTATCGATCGATTAAACGATGACGAATGGCGACCTCTACGATTGTTTTAACCGGGTGATATTCATCTGAGCTATTTCTCTAAAGAATATGTATACTGTTTATCATCCATTATCTACTTTATCAGATGAAAACGGTTATTCTACTAGGTGACATTAAGAAAAGAAAAGTAAGTAAAACGTTGCTGACTACTCTAGTGAAAGTACTGATACTGTGAGTACGACTTCACTCATAATTAGTCGATGAGTACTCATATGAGTTCTTTTAACATTTTTAAAGTATTTTTGCTCAGTGAGTACTCAAAAAATAGTCATTCACCATTTTATTTTGCTAAAATGAAGCTGTATAAAGAACGTAGAATTTAGCGAGGAAACAGAATATTTATATTATTTTTTTCTCGCTCTTCCCTTTGTACATAGTCAGAGATGGACTCGTCTATGATTACACTTTTAGTCCTACTCTGGCTGCCTACGATCACTCCTCTATATGAATTTTGCCAAAAGTTATATGAGTACTCAATGATTAAAGAAATGTGTGAGTACTCATGTGTACTCCTCGCATTTTTTAGCACGAGTACGCATCTGAGCACTTACACTTGGATACATTCTAGGGTTTGGATGATTATAAGAACGAAAATTATGTCTAAAATTAGTAGTTGTACCCACAATCAGCATTTTCTGCTAAAGATAGAGGATATATGTTGTAAAAGCATTGTTCTTTGTTTTAAAATATTGTAAATATTGATGTAGACGATATATTTTTGTAATATTTTCTCTTAGCTGTTACCTGTGTTTCTTGAAACTCTCGGTTCGTCTTATCTGCTTTCTTTTTGTCCTGAGCGGAGTTACTTTTACTAACGACGGAACCGTCCCAAGTGTCGACCGTCTATTTCACTCATATTTGGCTCCAGAATAGACCTTTATGAGCTATAAAAATGTGCAAAAATTTTCTGCTCATGGACCTCTGATTAAAAGGTATTCTCTTCACATGCCTCTTTTAGATGAAGTGCATGCGCTCATAAATCATGAATTTCTCTTCAATAACGTGAAGTTCGGAGCTCATAAGTTTACTGGAAGTATGTGAAAGTTTAATGGAAGATGCATGAAGAGGCGATGAACAGTTGAAACAGTTCTCTGGTGAGTTTTCGATACAGCGATTTGAAATAATGTCGGTAAGCTTTCATGCAACCATACCTTATTCATGTATAGGATATTATCTTTACATCTGATAATACAGATGTTAAACAATCTATCACTGTTAAAAATCTGTGTTCTTAAAAAAACTAAAAAAATGATCTTCATTTGTCCCCTATAGAGATCATATATGTGTTCTCCAAAGATTTGTACAACAAGAATCTTCAGTTTTCTGAAGAACAAAATCTTTGTTCTTTAAGTTTTTTGATCTCTATAGGGAACAAAGTGTTCTTCAGCGAACAGGTTTTTCAAGAACTTCCAAAAAAATGAAGAACAAGGTTTG